AATGACAGGGTTACTCTCGTCGAGCACAATCTGTTAGATAATGCTTTAACCAATACCTTGAACAGGAAGATGTTGAAGCTGAAGTATAGACACATCAGAGTTTCACAGCCCCACAACATCACCAGGATGCAATCCTTTTGTTTTGAGTCTTCCGGATTCCTTGATCTTAGCAGAGTGTTTGGGACATGGCTATTATGAACACTATGAGTTTAAAAAGTGGTCTTCTGTCCCATACTTGGGAGGCTGAGGCAGGGCCACTCTGTGCTCCATTCATGTCTGGGCCACATAGCAGACCCTGTCTTAAGAAACAACACAAGGGCTGGGCATTGGTGGCCCACACCTTTAGTCCCAGCCCTGGGGAGGCAGAAGCAGGTGGATCTCTGTGAGTTCGAGTCCAGCCTGGTCTACAGAGCTAATTCCAGGAAAGGCTCCAAAGCAATACAGAGAAACCCTGTCTAGAAAAACAAAACAAAAAAATCCCCCAAACAAACGAACAAACAAAACCACCAACAACATAAGGGCTGACAAGATGGCTCAAGGAGGAAAGGCACCTGCAGCATGTGTGACCCAAGTCTGGTCTCCTGGGTCCACCGCATAGGTGAAGGGCAGAACAGACTCTCAAGCTGCCCTCTGATCTCTGTAACCATGCATGTGCCCCTCCTGTATCATGCACATACATAAAATACTAATTTTAAGAATTAAAAAGCAAAAGCAAAACCCCAGTGTCTGTGGGCTTGTTGAGATCCAAACACTGTAAGCACAAGTTTTGATGCAGGTTCTACTGAGGAGAAGCATCAAACTTTGTTTTAGAGATTTTTGTTGCTGTTGTTTGGTTTTTTTTTTTTTTTTTTTTTTTTTTTTGGCATTTCTTGCTAACATTTCACTAGTTGTGATTCAAAATCACTGCATTTCTTTTAAAAATTGGACTTATTTTTATGTGTATGATTGTTTTGTTGGACCATATGTCTGTGCAACATGTGTATGTGTGTTGCTAAAGAGGTCAGAAGAAGGCACTGGATACTCTGGGAATGAAGTTAGAGATGGTGTTGGGCCATCCTGTGTCTGCTGGGAACCAATCCCAGGTTGGTCCTTTGTAAAAGCAACAAGTGTTCTTAACCACTGAGCCATCTCATCTCTCTAGACCCAGAGTAACCGTTTCTTATCAAAAATATACTGCCACAGACATAGTGGTACACACCTGTAATCCTGGCTAATCTAGAAACCAGGAAAAAGAAATGCAAATTCAAGGCCAGCCTGGGCAATTTATTGAGACTCAGTTTCCACATACAGATGCAAATGGGCTCTTAAAGGGCTTGCTAAGCATGCAATAGGTTCAATCCCCCATAGAGAAAATTTAAAAAATCTATTGTAGATGTTCATTTGTAATGCTAATATACAATCATATTTTTACACATTTCTTTGAAAATGTTTGCTCACAGAGATACACGACCTGGTGGCACCTGAATTGTCAACAATAGGATATAATTCACTTTGTCTCAATGACTCAAAGCTGCTGCAGGGAACAATCCTGACCATGTAGAAATTAACACAAGGATGACCTTGTCCTAATAGCACAGAGAGTCTGGAAATCTGGGCATGGCAGAGCAATGCTGTAATCCCAGCATTACAGAGACTGAGGCTGGAGGATTCTCAAGTTCCTGACCAACCTAAGCTACATAAGGAGAAAGACCCCATTTCAATAAATGAACAAATCTAAGGACCACTAAAACTGATAGGACTTCAACTGCCTCAAACTTGTATCATTAGATAAATTTAATCACATTTACTATTTTATGGTGTTTGGGGGAGAGGGGTACAGGATGGAGCATGTGGAGATTACAGGATAACCTGCAAGCTGGTGTTATCTCCTCCATCATCCCATGTGTTCTGAGTATCAAATCCAGATTATCAGGCCTGGCACCAAGTGCCTCACTGAACTATCTTGCTGACCTTTCAATTAATTTTTTTTAAAAACCAAGTAACTACCCCAACCACCAAAAAACCCCACACCCTTTTAGATCACTAGAAGTACATTACTAAAAGAAGCTCTGGGTGGGTATGGCATATGGACCAACCGGAGTCTGTATAACCCCTGTCCTAAAGGCCAGGCAATAACACACATCTATAGTCTGAGCTAAAGGAGAACATAGGGTTGGAAATCAGTTCAGTACAGGGTTCTGACACAGGCAAAGGCAACATAGCAAGACAGTCTCAAAACAAAACAGCCTTTGCCACTCTTGCCATATCATTTACCGGGCGGACACTATTTCATTTTTATCTACAAAATGTTTATCAATTTGATGAAATGTGAGAAAGGCAGAAGACCCAACTGACAGAGTTCTCAGTGGTCAAATAGGAACACTATTAGCAACAAATGAAGTAGTACGGAATTTTAATTCCAAATATAAGAAATATCTATGAGCCTGTACTGCTGCATAAATAATTTCCAGTACAGAATAACCCCACGTAGTTCATGCAGATACTTTACCCCCAAGGTATACTATAAACAAATTTCTCATATGAATGTCTTTCCAAGGGGCACGTCATGAAGGAGATGGAAAATAACACTGCTGACAAATGTACTTCCACCAGAGATAGCTACAAGTTAGACGTTAGGCTCACAGCATGCACCCTTGCTATGTGATAAAAGTAACACTTCACTTTCACTCTGAGAAACTCATGATCCTAGTTAATCATGAGACAAACCCCTGATAAAATCCAACCAAGGACGTTCTGCTAAATATCTAACCATAACAACTGGAAAGTGTGTGGGACAAGCAAAGTCTGAGAAAGTGCCCCAGTCAAGAAGAGATAAGGAGGTCGGGGGGTGTAGGTCAGGGGTGGAACATGTGCAGAGGACCAGCCAGGGGTAAGATAAGGAACCATGATGACTAAGTGCACTGTGATACCGGTGTGGCTCCTAGAACAGAGAAAGAGATTAGTAAAAGGAAATCTGAACAAACAAAACTAAAAAAAACCTTGCCCATGTAATAATGTATTTGTTCATTAACTGTATCAAATGAGTCATACAAGATGTTAATACCAAGGGAAACTGGTGTGTGATGTACCAGTTTGATAATGACAAATAGTAATCTTAAGAGATTGCACATGTGCAGAAGAGAAATCTGGAGCTGGTCTTGGTGGTGCATGCCTGTAATCTAAACTGAGGCAGGACTGCAAACTCAAGGCAAGGGCAAACAATTTAGAAGGACCCTGTCTCAGACAGGGGTGGGGGCTGAGGGACGATAATGAAGTAGCTATGCTTGTTTAGAAAATATAAAGCCCTGGGGACCATACCCAGCATAGAGGGTATGCATATGTTGAAATCTCCATTAGTAAGTAAGTGTAGATGTTAATATAGATTCAGGGAGCACAAGGATAATTAAATTGTAAAGTACTAGCCAACTTTGCCAAATGGGTTGTCTTATCTCTCTGATTACTTCTATCATGCCTTGTAATTGGTTTTCTCAGGATATCTAGGTTGCTATGTTACAAACATAGCTCACCAGCAGTTCCTTAATGTCTTTCAATTAAAACTGTCCTGGTTGGCAGGGTGGCTCATGCATGTAATCCTGTATTCAGGTGGCTGAGGTAAGGGGATCACCATGGGTTCTGAATCACAACTGGTATCACTTTCCCCCTAGCCTACCTTGGTTCGGTAGTTACATATTATCTGTGATCAGATATTCAATGGATATCCCTAGGTTTCTACAAAGTCTCTGAAGGAAGGGTATAGAGGTAGGCACAGCAGACCCTAAGCCACGACTATTGTAAAGAGAAAGAACCGGATTTGGAATCCATATTTCAAGGCATTCTAATACTTCTCCCATCTAAAGTAACAAACAACTAAAATTACAAAAGAAAAAAAAAAAAACTCTTCACATTTTCTATTGAAAACCTACTAGCATGCCAGATACATATTACAGCTAATTTAAAACAACACACTATATGTACAGGCAAAGATGGACCGATTTGTACAGTACAAGCAAGTGAAGTTGGCATTCTTGATGGACCTTCATTACTTTTTCACAAGGAAAGCAAACCCTTCCTTGAGATTTTGTGGAAAACCAGTTCATAGTTTAAGTAAATACAGAAAGATAGGGAAAGCAGCTTTTTTCCCCACTGATGGATTATAAATTTTGAATATGGAGCAAAATAAAGCCATTTAAGTTCTTTACGAAGGCAGCAAAACTTCTGACACAAGATGTTTGCAACCAGAGGTAAAAAAAAAAAAAAAAAAAAAAAAAAAGAAAGAAAGAAAGAAAGAAAGAAAATAAGCTCTGATAACACACGTCTAACCTAAAATATTGTTTAGAATGGTAACAGACTGTCAACTTCACATTTTGGTTCCGAATGTTCACTTGCACTCCAGCAAAAAAAAAAAAAAAAAAAAAAAAAAAAATCACACCCATCATGCTCAAGTCAACAAGTGCCATCAAAAAAACCCTAAACGAAACATATCCAACCTGAGAAGAGCAAATCACTTTTAAATTGTACCTCAAGTGGAATTCTTGAGACAAACAACTTCCACGAAGCTGTAAATAAGTCTTAAAGAACATTTTATAGGATTCACGCTTTGGGGGGACCGACACAAGAACACCTTTTGGAGCACTCGACAAGGAAGAACATTCAAACACTCGAGCTATTCCAATATCCCACTGGCTGGCTCGCATTTCTAAAAAACACTGAAGATGCTGTTTTCATAACATAACTCAAGGCGGCCCGGATGCACCCCCCTCCCCACCCCCAAAACAAACCGACTCCAGGACAGGAGTTTGAGTCGGATTAGCCGCACCTCTTGGAGGCGGGTGCCGATTTGAGATTAGCTCTGGAGAAACGGGTTTTGCAGCATGAGGTCGTTATCTCGGAGCATCTATTCGCTCTATTCTTTTAAACAGACAGCGTCAAGCATCTGCACGCGTGCAGCCTGCCCTCGCAGGGCCGCGCTCGGCCCACGCTGCTTCGGCAGCCCGCGTGCGAGCCGCTGCGCCCGCACTCACCATCTCGATGATCTTGGTCTTGCGGCCCGTCTTTCTCTTCAAGGTGAATATGTACTGGGCCAGCACCACGCCCGCCACCACCGCGCACACACTGGCGCTCGCCACCGCGCCCACCCGCGCCACGGCCGCGCGGTCCATGGACAGGCCCGCGAGCGCCGGGCGCGAAAGCCCCAGCCAAACCCGAAGCTGCGAGCACAGGGGCGCGGCAGCACGCTGCACACTCGCCCGGAGCTCCGCCCCGCGCGGCGGAGACCCGGGAGGCCCCGCCCAGAAGAGCTGGGGGCGGGGACGGCGGGGCGGGGACAACGTGATTCGTGTCCGGAACCCCACCCCTACTGAGTGTGGGGGCGGGACTTCCCCTGACGCTGACGCCAGAGCTACGCCGCAAATACTCGGAAGGGAACCTCGGTAATTGGGTGCTGAAGAGAAGTAGCGCTTGTGTAATCCGGAACCCCAACGCTCCAAACGCCAGGCAGTTCCTATAGTACACAGTAAGAAGGTCCCAGAAACACACGGGACAATAACCAAAGTTCTGTCCCAGTGAAAGAGCCTTCGACCACTGCCCACTCTGAAACTGTGCCCCGACTCTGCCAACATGGACTACAATGCCCAGAAGCCTCAGCGACGCCGTGTCTGACTTGTGCAATAGCATCCTGGGTTGGAAGGCCAGGGTCTAGGTTTCCTGGGGAGATGTGTGGAACTACTTCCCTTCTCAGTCTCCCGCTATCCACTAGTTGAGCGCACTTAGCAGTGTGAGCAGCCAGACTTGCAGTTGTTTACTTGCCTAGTGTCATTCCTCTGCTTTTGGAATGGGTTTACCAGGATGCAAGAGAGATGTTTACAGTAGTCACTCCAATTCTGTAAGACTGATGCTGCTGTTTGGCCAGGCTCTCTCTGTCTGGTATGTGCAACCGAAGGAAGTCAGGAATTAATAACTGTGGGGGAGAAAGAATTATTTTTTCTAGGTTTTGCTAGCTGGCCTAAAAGCAAATTAATATACTAACCAGAGTAAAACAATTTATGTATTGTGCAAATAACAATCCCACAAAAATAGGAGACTTAAGCTGGCCATGGTGTAGCATGCTTCTAATATCAGCACCTAAGGCAGGATGATTGCTGCCAGTACAGTGACTGACTGACCAGGGCCATGGACCATGGCCCTGGCTCACAAACAAGCAAAAAAGCTCAAAGAAGTAACCAAAATAATGATGCTAACATATACCATCCTGGGTTACTGAAAGAAATAAGTATTATGGAAACATTTCCCTACCCGGAAAAAACGTCTTGGCCGATGCAGCACTCCAAATTAGACCAAATCAAACCGAATTAGAAAAAGTCTATGTTAAATGGATACAATGTTCCTCAATGGCCTTCCAGCCCTCCCCCCCCCCCCCCCCAGAGGAGACAGGAAAGAGTCACGAAAACCACAAGTCTGAGTTCTGGGGGGGACAGTTTAAATACCCTGTGGGAGTGGTCTTGAGCATCTCTTGGGTCGGGGTCATCATTTGGTGGGCTTTCTGAGTTGCAGCAAGGTTTGGAGAGAGATAGGGGAGGGGGCTTGGGTGGAACTTCCACCGTAACATTCCAGACTCTTGGGTATATGGATGCCAGGGGCTGTGGTGAAGCTTCCACCATAACAGTTATATTTGACAATTCTAGAGTGAGGTGGAAATTTCAGAGTGAAAATGTACGGTGACTAAAGGTTACCCCGTGCAGATGAAAATCTCTCCAGGTGCTGTGTGAACTTAGTGATAGGATGAGTTCAAAAGTTATGTTTGGGTTAGATCTTGCACTGATATATTTTCTAATGAAAATTCCCATGTGTGTGTGTGTGTGTGTGTGTGTGTGTGTGTGTGTGAGTGAGTGTATGTACAGAGTCGTCTCTCTCTCTCTCTCTCTCTCTCTCTCTCTCTCACACACACACACACACACACACTTCTTCTGTACAAAGTATGTTTAACATTTTAAGGGATTTGTATTAATTACTTTTCTGTAGCTGTGATAAAGCACCATGACCAAGGCAACTTATAGAAGAGAGAGTTTACTTTGACATATAATTCCATAGGACTGCAATCCATAACTGCACACAGCATGACAGCAGGTGGTAGCAGGTAGCAGGAGGAGAAAGGTGACTGCACACATCGCAGCTACAAGCACCACGCAGAGGGAGCAAGCAGGAAGTGGTGCAGTCTGTAAGCTCTCAAAGCAAGCTTCTGAAGGACATGCTTCCTCCAATGAGGATGCACCTCCCCCTCCCTCCAATAGCACCGCTCAAACATCTGAGCCCAGGGGGAACATTCTCACTCAAACCACTACGAAATTTAAGGAAAACTAAAGGGCATTTCGGGCTTTGACCAGTTCTCAGTAGCTTTCATATCAAAATAATTACTGCACCGAAGTGATTTTCTCATGGCAGAGCCTGATCTCCTTTAGTCATGTCTTGAGGTGATGTGGCTTGAATCCCATCATAGTCAAAGCTAAGGATTGCTTTTTCTCTGTGCCATATGTTCTTCTCTGCCCCATCCCTGGGACCCTTGCAAAACATTCTTAAAGGAAAATACATAGAAAGATAATTCCCAGAAGATGATTCAGATCCTGACAGCTAATGAAAACATTGACTGCACAGATGCCTGTCTTAATTACTTTTCAATCACTGCGATAAAATACTGCAACCAAGGCAACGGATAAAAGAAAGCATTTAATCTGGCATTTGGTTTCAGTGTTAGTGTTCATGGTGGCAGAGTGAAGGGACAGCTGAGAGCCCACCCCTAGTGACACACCTCCTCCAACAAGCCCCATGTCCTGATCCCTCTAAATAGTTCCACTAAGTGTTCAAGTATACACACCTACGGGAGCAACCTCTTTCAAATCACCACAATGCCCTTCCCATATTTGTTTTGTGAACATATTTCTCTGATGCCATGTAATGCGTCTTTGAGGAAATACAAGCATGATTTTTGTGAAATTCTATGAGCATCTTTGAGGAAAGGGTACAAGAAAACCCATACCTTGAGGTATGCCTTGTGGATCTTAAGCATCATCTGTTGGTGACCCCTACTACAACTGACAGAATTGGTTCAAGCAGAGTGTGGCTGAAGTAGAATGTAACTACCAGTAGTTCTGGTGATAGGATCATTTCTACCTATTCCCTTTTCATTTTATAGACCACAGAAGTTTTGATTAATTGAGCTTGTTATACAATCAAAATTCAGTTAAGTGTTGTGGTACTGTGAATGAAAATGGCCCCCATAGGCTCAACGGGAGTGACATCCTTTGAAAGAATTAGGACATGTGAAGTTGTTGGAGTAGGTGTGGCCTTGTTGAAGGAAGTATGTTACTGGGAGTGGGCTCTGAGAATTGTGAAGCTCAAACCAGGCCAAGTGGCTGTCTGTCTGCCCCAGCTGCCTGCGCATCCAGATGTAGAACTCTCAGCTCCTCCCTAGCACCACATCTGCTTGTGTGGCACCATGACAATAATGGGCTATATTTGTGAAGATATAAGTTCACCCCACTTAAATGGTTTCCTGTGTAAGAATTGCTGTGGTCATGGTAACTCTTCACAGTAATACAAACTCTAACTAAGACAAATCTATACACATAATATTAACTACTATGTATTCAATATGTATACTACTACATTATCTACTATGGAAAAACTGCTGTGTAAAGCCAATAGTGGTAGCACATGCCTGTGATTACTTGGTAGGCCAAAACAAGTGAATCATGAGGTTAAGGCCAGTATGAGTACATGTCAGTGACTTGTCTAAAAAAAGGTAGACTGTTTATTGCTCTCACTAAGGCTTTGAGCACTATACTGAATGAATAGAGAGAATGGTAATCTTGTCCTATTTCCAGGTTTAGAGGAAATGATATGAAAATTCCCACATAGTATAATGTTAGCAATAATTTTGTTGTATATAACTTTTATGAGATATGCTTCTACTATCCTCAGTGTGCTCAAGATTTTTATTATGATGAATGGATCTTTGTGGAAGTCCTATTTTTATCACCTGATGTGTTTTCTGACCTTCTATCTATTTATGCATTGAATTACACTTAATGATTTGCAATTTTGTATTCCTTGTATTCTTGAAAAAAGTTAACTTGGTCACAGTGGGTGATCTTTGATATGTGTTCTTGAATTTGCTTTGCAAGAATTTTATTGAGAATTTTTGCATCTATGTTCATCATTTAAGTTGGCCTATCATTTTCTTTTTTAACTTTTTTAAATTAATTTTTTATTTAAATTAAAAACCATCTTATTCTTACCAATCCCAGTTCCTTCTCCCTCTGATCCTCTCACTTTCTCCACCATCTCCCCATCCCAACCCCTATCCAATCCCTAAGGAGGGTAAGGACTCCCATGGGGTGTCATCAAATCTGTCACATCATGTTGGGGCAGGAATGAAGCCCTCCCCATGTATCTAGGCTGAGAGAATATCTCTTCACAGAGAATGGGCTAGTTCATGCACTAGAGATAAATACTGATCCACTGCCAGTGGCTCCATAGACTGCCCAAGCCCCTTGGATGAAGACTCTATGATAACATTTGAAGTAGACATCAATCTCATTATACAGGAATGGCATTTAAGGTAGCCTCTCCACTATTGCTTAGACTCTTAGTTGGGGTCATCATTGTGGATTCCTGGGAATTTCCCTACTGTCAGGTTTCCCTTTAAAGCCATAATGGCTCCATCTCTCAAGGTATCTCTTTCCTTGCTCTCCTTCTCTCTCCTTCCCTCAAGTAGACTTTCCTGATCTCTCATGTTCTCCTCCCCCTCCCCTTCTTCCCTCCTCTCTCTCCTACTTCCTTCCCCCTCTCCCATGCTCCCAATTTACTCAAGAGATCTTGTTCCTTTCCCTTTCTTGTGTGTGTGTGTGTGTGTGTGTGTGTGTGTGTGTGTGTGTGTGTGTGTGTGTGTCCATGTATGTCTTTTTTAGGGTTCTCCTTGTTTCCTAGCTTCTCAGGGTTATGGATTATAGGCTGGTAGTTCTTTGTTCTGTGTCTAATATCCACTTTTTACTGAGTACATACTATGATTCTCTTTCTGTGTATCTGGGTTACCTCACTCAGCATGATATCTTTTAGTTCCATCCATTTGCCAGAGAATTTCAAGATGTCATTGTTTTTCAGCCACTGAATAGTATTC